ATTTCTCGAATCACTTTAACTTTCTCTTCAATGCTTAAAACTTTCCTTTTCATTGCCATGTTTTCGCTACTGCACTTCTCTGGGTTTAGGCAGGAACACTATAGGGTAAGTAGACAATGTGATGTCCTGTTAGAAGCGATTCTAGGAAAGGCATGCAGTTAACAACCTGCCGCGTCCTCTTGCACTATTCACGCAGTCCCACCCCACACCCTGGTTTTCGCATAAAACTCACAGTCCTCTTGCAGATCGCGGTCGTATTCTTCCAGGACAGTCACGTCAACAAGTAGAGAAAGTGAGGGTGGGCAGACATATCGAACTTTCCCATGATATCAGAGAAATTCGGGAATGAAAATGACGTTACATACGAGGTTGATGCAATTGTGCATGTCGTACTAAGCAAGGTATAAAAACAGTTGCTTTATGAGGAATTAGTTCGTATCATTGAATATTTGACGCAATAGACAAGGTGTCGCAGAAACCGATGTTGCTATAACCAAGTTTTACTGTATAGCGTCACATAACTTTGAACAAGACCAAGAGTAACACTGAATGTGCAGAAGAAAATTTTCAGACAAGGGGGTGGGTTTGAGGGTGTGAGAAGTGACAGGCGGCCAGTGGAAGAACGAGTGTTAAGAAACTCCTCCCACCACAAGCTATGCGCAGAATTTGACTAGGAATGTGGGGCCTTGTTCGAAGTTACGTGACACTGTCTATACACCGCGTAGCCTGTTGAAAGTCACTTTCAGTGAACTACATGGTGTTATACCCCAGATGTTATAGATTTTCTTAACCACTACTGTGAGAATCCTAAATTCTACATAATATATATGCTTTTTCTCTTTAAAATGGCGCTAATGGATATAACAATGAAAGTTGCAATTGCAGAACCTAGGCCTTTGGTCAGAAATAATGACAATGCACCGGTATAACAGTCTTTAGTCTATTTATGCCCTCTGTAAAGAATTTTGACCGAAACTCTTCTTACCAAATTCAGCAGAAATAATACTTCTGTAGTCACTATGCAAACCTCTTACCTGGACATGGTGTGCCTCTCACATTACAGAACAAGTGACTGCCAGTTTAAAAATTTCATGCTCTTCTTCTATGGCACAAAGTGGATACATAATTGCAGAGGCAGATTACAACATTTTTAAGCTACTTCTAAAACAACTAATTTGAACCATAACAGAACATGCACCAGTTTCAAAAAAATAACAGAAGACCCTTATATAAAATTACTCTTAGAACACCAAACTGCATTATACTTACACTCATGTCTGTCATATTCACAACATACTCCAGCAGTATGCTCGACATCTCCTCAAAGCAATCTAAGTAATCCTCCACATTCAGAGGATTTGCAGAAGCTGTACTTGATATCTGTAAAAACATGTAAACATAACTCCAATATATGAACACTGGATAATACATATTGGTTTTCAGGTAATGATGGCTACACGCTATTTGATACTGTAGCATGTAGACCTGTTACTAGGAAATGACCACAAAACAAACATGTTCCACAACAATGAGTCCATGCACAACATTAGAGGTACTGTTGGAAACAGTGTTTTCTACATGGTCCATGCCAAGACATTATACAGAGAGGACACCAGCCAAACTGCAGTCAGTCAGTAATAAAAATCTGGTCATGAGCCCCAGATTGGGCTCGACACCAAGACTGACTGACAGACCGACTGTCATTTGCAATGTGACTTTTGACTTTGATTATTAACTGAAGCAGTAGGCCGTGCCATAGCTCAAGTTGTTAGTCACTGGCTTCCCACTGCGGCAGCCCAGGTTTGATCCCGGGTCTGGTCAAGTGGGATTTGTGGTGGACAAAGTGGCCCTGGGCCAGGTTTTCTCCAAGTTCTTCAGTTTCCCCTGCCAATCTTCATTCCATCAAATTCTCCATCATCATAATCATCTGGGGCAGGTACAGTAAATACCCATCTAATGAAATTACAGTGCCTGCAAAACAAGAGCACCATTGGAAATTTTCCAAGGCACACACCCATTCGTGCCCATTCAAGTGACTAGACTGCCGTTGTAGTGGAAGCTACTATAAATAGGACACAATTTGCTGTACTGATCCTGGACTGGCAAAGGCCCTGTATATATTTTGTACACATTTATTAACACTAACTTTGACAACAAGCGGTAGTTGCTCGATCGGTATAGTTCGCCTGCGGACTAAAATCACGGAGTTTTAATTTTTTTTATTAACATACTTAACATGTAAAATGTAAATATCCTTACATTATGACAAATGACTTACTACCGTAGACTATGACTCTAACAAAAGACAGACCCATTCTCTTGTCAGAGAGGGCACCCCACAATATCAAGACAGTAACTGTCAAACAATAATAAATATCTGGTCATGAGCCCCAGATGGGACTCGACACGAAGACAGACTGACTGACTGTTGGTCACAATGTGACTTTGACTCTGACTTTGACAAACTGTAGTCAGTTGTAAGAGTCTGTTTAGTGAAGTCTAGGAGGTTGGTATCAGATGGCTGCCAACCTGGGAGTTAGTCAGTTGAAGCAGTGAGTCAGTCATGGAGTATTCGCCAGCAGGCAATGAAGTGAGGGTGGGAGCTGAAGAATCTCCACTGTTAGAAGCCATTACCAGGAATGACTAATGGAGAATGTAAGAGACTGAGAACACTAGTCTGTGTGTGATAGTGATTTGTAAAGTGTAGTTACAAGCTGAGTGTATAAGTAGTCAATAAATCTAATTGCCAACCCAAAGCCTAACTAGTCACACCCCTACATGTGAAAATACTGTATGAAGTGAGATTAAATGTACTTTAGTTGGGTCTTGTAACATAAAGGAAAAAGGAACTACAATGGCAGAAGTTACTGGGAGTACACTGTAGTTGACTTAACATTTTAAATTAGTGCAACAATATAAGAACATGAAAAAGTTAAAACTGCATGAATTTCATTTCAGAACAATATTAAATAGTAACCGTGGGGAAAATCTGACACACCAGAGCTTGAGGAGAAGAAAAACATATGTTCCATCAACATGAGTTTTTAGAAAGGTGACCTCTTTATATCTTGATAAATAAGAAACTATTTTGATCAAATCTAGACCCAGTATCTCTGAAATAATACCTAGGAATCTTGTGCTAATTCATAATTTATATTGGCTTAGCAGCTGCACCACATTCAAACAATTACCAACAAGACACACTGTTGTTTCTTTGTTCCAATGACATGAAATTACTTCATAAAAGAAATCAGAAAAAGTAAATGAAAAAAATTAAAGATCACCGCCTTCTCAAAACTAATATTTTTCTTTTCAAATCTGTATATGATTAAAATTCCAGAGGAATTTTTGGGTTTGTAACCACTCGGAGTCAATACAGACTTTTCTGCAAGCCTTCCCCTTCCCTCACATCTCATATAGTCAAAAACTCCATAAACATGTGAATTTTATCAGGCCACCATTATGGTTTGGATCTGGTCAGTTATGAATGGCCATCACCTCAGTCTTTACTATCAGCATGTTAGGGGGAAAAATGAAAATCCTGAATCTAAAATGTATACTCCTACCCCTTATAACATGAGTGGAGTTATTAAATATCATACATGGAGACATAAGGCAGAGTAAAAACAACCAGTAGCAAGGCCAAGGTATCACAACTGAAACTGTCTGATACTTTTATTCATTCAATATTGTCAACCAGCTGTAGGCTAAAATCATGTTCATACCTTAAACCATTCCTGTTGAACAATGTTGCTAGCATTTTTCAAATGATGTGGCACACTTGTGATGGGACATTTCCTTAAATAGTCATTCAATACTTTTAATGCAGCTTTCATCTCCTTGCTTGGCTCCGTTCTGTAAAAATAGAATGTGTACATGTTAGAATGGAATACTAGAATCAGTGCATATAAAATCTGCATTCACATTCCATTATTATTTTTGAAAATCTCTTCATTTATACACAGATATTTTATAAATTTTACAAGCCAGTGAATATGGGAAGTGATTCCTAATAAAATGTTATTAATGCACATCCAGTAAAATTTTCACAAGCAACAGGAAACATATTCATAGCTGTATGAAATTTCAGGTTTTCATGCCTGCGGATATTCAGATCACAGCCTTCATGAATGTGCTGTCATGTAGTTTGTAGACAGACAACTTTTCAGAAGAACCTGATGCCTCCATCTTCAGTGCAGATGATGAAGGCAGTAGTTTCCTTCAAAACACTGGTACCCACCTACAAATGACACACCATCACACCCCAGAACACAGTGACCTAAATATTCATGTCTGAAGCCTATTAACTTTTAACAAAATTTCTAATTTTCTTTTGTGTTACGTGAAAAATGGTACAAGCACAATGTACTGTTGTGTACTGTCAGCAACAAAGGTCCTGTAAAAGATTAACATCAGTTTATAAACAAAATTCTGGTAGAAATATTATCTCTAACAGCCAAATTGATGGCTGTCTGCAATATGTCAATAAAACTTACGCTGTGAATGAGGTGGCCAATTTGTAAGAGCTGTAATGTTTAATATTTTGTGCATTAATCTTCTGGCAAGTATGCACATAATGAAAATGGGCCCTATGAAGTGGGAATGTAGATACACAAAATTGGAGAAAATGTGTCCTGTAGGTTACAAACTTTCATATGCCTGAGTTTGGGATGTCACTTACATACTGCTACTTTTGGTCACTCTGTGAAACCAAACTGAAATTCCATCTTCTTTTATTTTTCTGGTTACAAATGAATTATGACGTTGCCTATACTTGCTGCAGGAGTCAAAATAAGTTAGTGAATGGAATTATGTACTGAAAATAATGGCTGTGATGAATTAGACATGCCTTACAGAAATAACTTGATTATCTTAATTTAAACACAAAATACATAAAGGAATCACATTCCTACATGCCCTGCAAAGGATAGGAAAACTTACAAAGCAGAGCATTAAAAAAATATTTAGTGTTCTAAGTTCATCAAATAAAAGAAGTTATGACATCAGTGAATCAGGAAGGATATGAGAGTTATAGCACCGTATCGACATTTAATAACAGTATATTAAGGAAACAAAAATCTTTAAGTAGGATAATCAGTTTTAAGTCAGAGGATAGGTGGTGTCTCCCAGATATTCCAAAATAAAATTCAACCAAAATGAAAGTTAAAAGGTTATAGTAATCACAGATGGGGTAATTTTGAAGCTGAGAAATTTAAATGAGACAAAAGGGTTTCCAAATATTTTATAATACTTTTTTCTTGTATCATGCTGTATAGGCTGGAAGAGACCAGTGTCCATAAGAGCATGCGTCTCTTCTTCTGGACTTTCTCTGTCGCCTTCTTTGGCATCTGAACAAATCAACTCTTTCCCATGATCTGCCATGCACTTGTTCTCTTGCTCCCGAGATCTGCTTGCCTGCATTGCCAGAAGCCTTTCTGCAGGGCATGGTGGTGATGTTTCATGCCTGCAAACATAAATTTAGAGGTAACTGTGTCCATATGGTACAACAATTCTCAAACTTTCTGACTGATCCCAGACCCATTCTCTGCAGTAAAAATGAACACTTTGTCAGTCTTCACAATTTAAACATAAAAATGTATTCTTTTTCAATTAAAACCAGAGCTCCTTTAGTGACAGCTTCGTAAGATCCAAAATATGTACGTGCATGTAGGCTCACATAAACAAAATGCATTCCCCTATGTTAATTTCTTAAATTATAATTTGAACTTCATTTCTTACATTTTAATTTTTCAGCAATTAAACACTTCATAATATTGTATGTCACAATCCTGTTGCATTTGATTATCACTTAGTGTTTTTCACTGCCATATAATTAAAGATTTGTAGAGTTACATGATGGACGTGCAGCTATTGTTTGCTGTCACATTTCACTCGCTTATTTTTCAGTATGTATATGACACAATTTGGTTTGTATAAGACCATCATCAGGTGCTTTTCTTGTTAAGTTGAAACAGTGAGTTTATGTTCCATTAAGAGCACCAATTAAAATTAAAACAGAATAAAAGTTAAATGTGTAAAACGTTTGATTGGTAAACATTTATTTCTTATAACTTGATGAACACTGTGGGGCAATGCTTCTTGTAGGATCACACTGCAGCATTTCAATGCTGGTGTTCTGCTGTTAGAAATATGTTTTCCACAACTCAGTGGAAACTATGATGCACTATTCTTTGTTGTGTTCATGGTGTACTCTTTTGCTTCTAATATTCATCTACTCATTGGAAATGTTGTTTTAAGTGTTGTACAGATATGTTGGTAATGTAGTCTCCACTGATGATGATCTTATAGAAACTGAAATATGTCATGTAAATATAGAAGAGTGGGTAATAAGTGAGTGAAATGTGATAGTGTAACAACTGCCGCAAAGCCATCACAAAACTCGGCAAATGTTGCACTGTAAAAACAGTGAAAAACAATAAGTGATTAAACGTTTGCATTTCCTACACCACTAGCATAGCTTAGTTGCCTCCGTTACCATGGGGCAGTAGTATGTACCAATACAAAATGGTAAGCACTGAACCTATACCTGCGAAGATTCATACTGCCTTCTGGGTTATGGTACCACAATCCTGTAAAAGTGGGTACCAACTTATATTTCTATATTCGGTACAAAAGTAAACTTTCTGCATGCTTCTTCCAAATATTAGTAACGACCAATCAGACTGCATGGTGTCATAACCCAGAAGACCACAGTATAGCAGACTTGTGACTTACAAAGGTTCAATGTGACAAACACCAGTAATTTAAGATCTAAAAGTTTGTGACGATGGCTGGCTGCGCCATAGCTCAAGCGGTTAGTCACTGGCTTCCCACCGCAGCGGCCAGGGTTCGATCCCGGGTCTCGTCAAGTGGGATTTGTGGTGGACAAAGTGGCACTGGGGTGGGTTATCTCTGATTACTTTGGTTTCCCCTGCCAATCTTCATTCCACCAAATTCTCCATTATCATAATCACCTTGGGGGAGGGGGGCTATAATAAGCCAATCAGTGGCTGCCGTGCTGAGTGGACCCAGTTGGACTCCACCCCCCCACAAAACGAAATTGTGACGATGGTAAATTGCTACAGGTACCATGTTTTTGGACATTATCCATCATCTTGTCTATTTTTAAAAAACCGTCCTGTTTCTCTTTTAAAATACAATGTTTCAGAGACTGGATTCTGTCCCCGTCCTCAGGTAAAACCTACTCAGTTGGGTTCAATAGATAGAGCTAGCCCCTATCCCTAGCCATATCCCTTGAGAAACAGACGATGGATAATGTCCAAAAACATGGTACTTGTACCAGTAATTTATCTGGCAGTCTTTTGCTGTTGATTTAAAAAACTCTGAGACTGCATAAGCTAGATGTGTCTCACACCATGACTTTCATATTAGATGCAACAGAAGTTTTGATTATTTAAGTGTGACTGTGAACCAAATAAGGCACATATATTGAGCCATACAGAGAAAAGAACAGTAAAAGCAAATGCCCCCTTACTAAGGATTTTGAAGACATGTACAATGTGCAAGCCCATAGCCTCAATCAGGCTGTAGTGCTAACAATAATGTCATTTGCACACTCACTCACTGCACGAAGCTGCAGTCTTTCTTCACAAGATAATATGTTACTCCATTATGAGAATTTCTGCCTCTTATGGAATTCAAGGATTCATTCAGGGCTGTAAATTTGGGCTGTCTACTTAATTACAGTGGGTTTTGTAAAAAGCCGTTTACAGTGCCTTAAGATGCTGTAGCTATCATCCCAGGAATGACACACGTAAAATGAATTGCTGAACCCGCATAGTAATAATTTCCTTCATATTGTGTTGGTCATTTCCTGGTCTCTTCTACTGATCTGGCATTTGTTCATGGGTTCACTACTGTTCACAAGTCACTAGTCCCCCCTCCTGTACCAGATGAAACCACTCCATACATTCATTTACATCCTACTTATTTATAATCCTTTTAAATATTATGCTCAAATCTATGCCCACATCTTCAAAGTTCTCTCTTTTCCTTCATGTTTTCTGACTAATTTTGTATGAAGTTCTCTTCCCACCCATACAAGCTGTGAGAGGTGTTCTATAAGTAGGGTTCCCTAACCTGTAACATTTATGTTATGCACTGTTTTCATGCCATCCAGACTGTAGCCCTGACTTTGGGCCTCTAAAGCAACACTTGGGAGGGCACCCATTCCACAATAATGATGGAAATGGTTGTTGGTGAATTGTTGCGAATGAAAGAAGCCTGACTTCTACCATGATGGAATTTTTAACTTGTGCCAAGCTGGAAATGCATCAATGTGCTAGGAGATTATGTTGAAAAATAACAATACTTCAGTGCAATAAATTAGCTAAATTTAGTGTTGTAATGACCTTCATTTAATTTGTATGGCCTGGGGTACCTTACTTACTGAACAACCCTTGTGTGTGTACTGCCTATCTCATAATCACCAATCTGCTCATCCTATTAACACAAACTGGTGCTGAAAAATTTTTAGTTTCAGGTATACAATACTAGCACTTCTCAACACATTTGCTACTGGGCCAGAATTAATTTCTTCAACCAAATTTCATTTATGTAAAACTTGCAAAAAAATGTACATTATGATTATAATCTTCTGGAATGTGGTATCGTGCAGTCTGGTATACAGGTTCCTTCCAGATGTTGTACTTATATACCAGGCGGCACGGCGCCAAATCCATTAAACCCTCCACACATTAATGTTTGTATTTGGAGAAGATATGATTCATACTGCAGTAATACAACACAGTCAACATATGTTCTGTTTTCGTGTATCATCCAGGGTTGGAACAATAGGCCACAAGCCCACTTGACGCTGTAGTGCCAGAAGAATACACCTCATTCCACTCCAAAAAGTACACACACTAATAATAGTTTATTAATTGCCATGCATCTTATTCCGGATATGTTACATTTCTACTAGCACAAAAGTTCCTGAACACAAGATAAAGGAAAACTTAGAGCACTAATCACGCTCCAACAAATCTAGTTACGAAGAACACATTCACATTTTATTGTTAACGTGAGCATCAATTCCACAATTAAAATGTGAAAATAAAATGACGATAACCTCGGGCTTATTGCATACTCTTGATAGCACACAGTACTAGGACCGGGTGAATTAAAATCTATCTTTCCTTGTATCATACGTTGCGTTTCCTTAATTTTCTATCCATGACACAAAAAAAAATCCATTCCTTCCCCACTACCCTCAATTCACCAATCCTCAGCTCTATACGCTCATCCGTGCAATTCTAAATCCGTGCATACAGCTGTTTACAATGTATGAGAAAGTTGAGTATCAAATATATTTCCTTGTGGGGCGGATTCCTTATTCAAGCGCTAGCATCGCGAAGTCACTCAGAGCCACCAGAGCGAAGAAAGGTCCCGCTAGGACACCTATTTAAAATTACGACTGTAACAATGCAAATCTACCAATTATTCATTGATGCATGGTAATTTTTTCATCAATGTTTCTTTTATCTTTTTTTAAATTAAATAATATTCTAACAACTTCTCAAAGTTCAGAGCGAAATTTAATGCAATTATTGCTGAAATACTGAGCACGTAAATTGATATCCAACGCGGGAGAATGTCTATTTTTAACTTTATTGTTTCATGAATGAAAAAAAAAAGGGGGGGGGAACGAATCACTGTTAATTTTCTATATAAAATTACGTACCTCTGGCATTGTATTCAATAGCTCTGAACCATCCCAAATATTTTGTCGTACTTCACTTCTAGTTCTTAATGCCAAAATTCTGAAGGTTTCTAAAATATCGAAGTGATGGCTATTTCCGAAAAATAAAATCGAAACAGTAACTTTCCTATGCTCTAAAATTGGATGTTACATGTCGTTTACTAAACGATATGATTCATGTAGCACGCGAGTATAAAATTAAAACACATTTTTAAATCATATAAAAGAAAAGGCGAAAGGTGAAACTAAAAGAGAAGCTTAGAACTGGTCACAGACCAAGTACTCGGTCAGCCCATCCTCAGCGAATTGATTCGGTTTGGTTCATGAGAACTCATTTAGAGGAAGGAAATGCTGTTGCGAAATTAAAGTGGTCTGTGTGGAGTTCCTTTCAACCTAAGCCCCAGTTCTGGATTCGTCTGTTGGAGAAAATGTTAATATCGTCTCTAACAACAGCTAACTACGAGTGCTCACTAATCGTATTTTCTTCCCAGTACATTTTTTCGGCACATCGTTAACAAATTGGGACAGACCCGCTATTTCATTTTGCTTGTTCAAAATATAAACACAAATCTGTTCATGGTTTAAAAGATAAGTGCAGTAGAGTTACTGCAAAATTCTCGTAGAGAACTATTAAGAAGTGAGAAAGATATTTCGACTTTCATTCAATAAAATTTCACAACCGTCAAAGGGTCCAAGTTTTTAGAACGGGCGGTGTCACCCAGATATTGGTATATGCCACTGGGTTAGAACAATGTTAAAACATCCTACAATTAGACAAATGCCCTAAAAGTAAATTAAAATACATGGGACAATAGAACGATGAAATGTATACCTGCTCTTCTCCTGTATCGGCGTCGCCGTTGTGTGTCTGTTTTCAGCATCGACTTGCAGTTTCGTGTAAGTATCCTGCCTCTGAATACGATGTTTCTCTTTCGCCATTATTGGAGAGTGCACAGTTGTCGTCGTAGACGTGTAGATAGCACCACGGGCGGGAGTAGGCCTGGGTATACGCGAAATGGTTGCACTCGGACTTGTTTTCGAAATGTTTGTGGTGGGTAAAGTAACGACAGCGGTAACACTTGGACTAGGGTTCGTGGAATCAGACTTTTGTGTTAACATATTCTTGGCGACATTCTGAATTGCCACATCACATTTGTCACACAAAAACACACCGCAACCGGAATTTCTGCGTCTCGTATCGTCCCCAACAGCTGCATCTACTAATTTCCTTTTCGTTGTGTTGACTCCAAAGTCGCGGCTTCTTCTAATGTTAAGATCTTCCGTGTCCGTTCCTTCGGAGACAACAGCGCTGTTACGCGTTCCGCAGCCTATTGATCTAACAGCCACTTCCTTCTTGATTCGTGGTGAGGAGTGATCGGGCAGCTTATTTTGTAGAATGCCAATGTTGCTGAGAGAAAGTGACGTCTCTTCTTCTGCTACGAGATTTGTGACAGAACAATGACCGACACCAATACTTCGTTTCTTCACCTTACATTTATCGCAGAGTACATCGTTGACGGTGTTGTCCGATGCACCAAAATCCCTTGTTCTGGGTCTCACTTGAACCGCGGTTTCGACGTAGCGAGGCTTTGCAGAAACGCCAATTTCAATAAGCCGCCGTGGTATATCTTCAGTCTGACTGAAGGCTTCCCGACGGCAGTGATTATCTTCGGACTGGACGGCAACATCGCGTCGCTCTATGATCAATAAAACCGGCGTAATTTCTGGCACCTTCCCTATTTGAACTCCTATGTCTCTAGTGTCCTTTGGATGCAGTCTAGTACTGAAAGTTTTTTCGTACATCTGAATCGCTTTGTTGATGTTACGATCCATTTCCACATCTGAGTATACATGGTCCTTAAGAAGGTCAGTGTTGGTTGCAGACGTTTTTGTGTTGGCACTCTTAAGAACGGATTCGAAGTTGATAGCATTCATAGGAGAGACTTTAACAAGTTTTTTATGAAGGTGGCTCAAAGGGCGGATAGCTGTCGGTAGGCTTTGAGAGTCATCAGGTGGAATTTCTTCGGTGTTCACGCCGCTCAGACTTAGCCGTTGGAGGGCGGTACGTGTATTCGTCTTTGCGTTGCGAAGCCTAGGCCGTTGTGGTGACACCCCTACTTCCCGTGTTATGACAGAGCAGGTGATTCCGATGTCTCGTGAACTGTTTCTGACTGCCTTGAAACTAGAGCTTCGAGGGTAGTTCCTATCCGAGCCATCCGAACAGGACTGAGAGCGTATCCTCAGTGAAGGATCTCCTTCAGAGTCCTTGCTTCCTTGACCTAACAAACAGAGACTGCTATTAATTTATGCAATAACAATACTAAGAATCTTTGCAAAGCTGATTTATTGGTTTAAGAATGTTAGGACGGAACATAGGAAGAAAGACCCAGATACGTTGTTCATATATTCTCAAGAACAAGGCTTTATAACATTTATGACGCTGTCGAAATACGTGTAGTTTGGAAGCTGTCAAAATCATTTGAATTTAAGGGGGCAAATTTGGCTAAAAACGTTGAATTATATGCAACTGAGTTAAGAAGGGGAACTCACTGCCACCTTCCGTTTTCCGCCATCTCTGGCATTACAAGGTGCTAACAGCTGATGGGGTTTAATTTAATTTTATGCGTCTTTCACTGACTTGTTACCCTAGTTATCTTACCCTTCATATATGCTGCTGAAAAATCGTCGACTGTGTTTCTCTTATTCCTTTCAGCCTCTTCAAGTCGAAGCTGTAACAGCATCTGCCGTTTCTCCTCTTTCAGAACAGACAACTGTACCTGGAAGGAGTTCATGTAAGTATTGAGTACACACAAACACACAACTCGGCTTTACCTACTTCCAGCCCCTTCTTTCCCTCTCCCTGCATAAAATACGGCTTTCCTCACTTTCACTGTGTTGCTTTAGTTAAATACAAGTATCTCACGCCACACCAAGCCATGTATATTTGAAAAATATATGTACGAATGAAAGAACATGTGGGATGTGTTATATGAAGAGACAACCACTTAGTGAATTGTTCTGTAAATATTTATTATAGTTGCACAGTACACAGACTCACTTCGGTTTGAAGAACTGAAGACCAATAGCATAGAACCAACAATATTACTGCTTGCAACACCCATACCACTCTCTTCATAGTATCACTATATGTTCCTCTTATATAACATTGTGTCGGCCCGCACAGAAAACACGTCGTTGTCCTTATTGTTGTAGGCTTTGCCTAGCAACGACTGTTTACTCGCCGTTGCTAAGCAATGATACTTGCGTTGTCATTGTAACGTTTGCTTGAATCTGGGCAGTTCCCATATCACCAACTGCGAGATCACTTAGCAGAACTTGGTCTGCTCGCTACCGATGCCGGCCAAAGTGAACTGTGCTTCGGCTTGAGCGAACCAAACTGCTGTCTCTCGGCCCAGAACGACGGAAGCCGCACGGCAATTCTTTATAACTCTGTTGGCAGTGGATCGTTCGTAATACGGGCGTCGTGTTGGTTTGTCTGCCTTTGGTCTTCCCACATCCACGTGTGTGTTTTTGTTGGAACGTCCGTGTACAAACTAAATTCTGTGGTTCTTCAAACATTTCAGAGTAGTAGCATTTTACAAACGAATAATGAGTGTAACAAATAAAAGTAAAAACTAGTAACACATCAAAATGAAATGGTTATTCCGAAAAATTGCAACCCGTAAACTGATTCTGTAAGTTATCGAAGCAGCAGCAACTCAACGAACAGCGACACAGGCGATGTGAGATCATAAAGGATGATAGAATAAAATATTAGCACGTATTATTAACTATCATTACCCCTTTAAATGCCGAATTTCTCCAAAATGATAGTGACGCAATGCGCTATGGAGGACGCCCCCCCCCCCCCNCCCGCCAGCGGTGACGTGCCTAGCGGAGCCGAAGTGAGCCGAGTCCAAGCACGCTGGTCGCTATGCAAGGCGAGTAAACAGCGGTTGCTAGGCAAAGCGAGTAAACAGTAACCCATTACGTAACACGGGACGCCGCAGTTGCTACGTAGCCGTAAACAACTCCCAACAGAGTTGCTAGGCTATAGGCAAACACGGCGACTAGGCAACAAGGAAGCGAGGCGTTTCCCGTTGTCCGGCTGAGGGTTTATAAGGGAACTACACAGCCTACGAAGACAGTTACGAGTTGGTCAGGGAAGAGTATGCAGTCTGGTATTTGTGATACTGCCGATGGCAGTAATGTTGAGCTTGTAAATTGTGTGATTGTAAGAGCGAATGTGAAATAAAATTCGCTATATCCAATACGGCGTGAAGTTATTTGTCGCGTTATACACCCAACACGTGACAATATGTAAGAATTCAGTTCGTACCTCTCATGAAACATATTACATCTCCGCTAGAAAATTCAGCCCATTCCTGCTGTTCAGGGAAACAATCTCTCTTCATTGTGAACACCATATGAAACACACAAATACACTCTGTGGGCAGAATGCAAAGTTTTAGCATGTTACAGCAGATGGTATATATAGGAACAGCTCGAATTTAAAGGGTTAAACGTGTAGATAGGCACTGGGCTCAAAACGCCACGGCACAGCATTCCAGAAGCACTGTTCTAGCACACTCTTCTCAAGTTGTATCGAAATGGAGAAAACTGGCTTACCAACTCGGTACTATAACGTGTGTCATATCCTGCTTAACATCCTGGCTGTTCAGTGTTCTGAGATGATAGATTCTTCGATTATTTAACGAACCTGTTCAACTTCAGAGGATAAATAGCGTTGATTGCATGAGAAAATAATCATAAGCGTGTGGGTAATAAGGATTTTGAGGACGGCTGTCGTGCTATGTTTCTAGGTATTGTTCTGACATCCGCACTGGGACACTACTAAAAACTGCAAATTAACTACCGGAACAGCGGATAATTCGTCCGAGATTTAAAACCGGTACCTCCCAGTTGTTACCGCCACACCAACCTTCTTTGAAAGAAACAGAAAAAAGTTCATTAAGAAATTGGAAGATAATTAATTCGACAGAGAGGCTCTAATTACAACCTCTTCAGTAGGTTACTCGCATATAGTGGAGAAAGCACATCTTAATCTAGCAAAGAGAAAAAATCTTACCTGTAGAACTGGTATCAATTTCACTTGTTCCTCCAGTTCCCTCATTCGCTCCAGACTGATGGCCATTTGCTCTCGGATATTCTGCGTTAAACAAAGATAAGTATTACTGCTATCTCGTGGACGAGTCTTGATGTTATGATAAGAGTGTGACTAAGAATAAAGTAATACGGAGACAACACGAAGACCTGAGCGGTTAGTTTTACGCCGCAGCCGATGCTAAAGTCTCGAATTGGTGGAGATGTTCACTGGATTCTCAAGTGCTCGTTTCTCTTTGGCGAAGTTGGGTTATACCTGTGCTTAAGGATCTCGCCATGAAGTCTTTTAGCTGAATCTCCACGTGTTGTGGACTTTGGCGTAAAAAGAAAATGGGTGCCCGGCTTCACGAAATGGACGATTTTACACGTATTTCGGGGATGGAGTCTGCGGTATTCATAGAATAGAACGCGCAAGCTTCTCAGAGCAGGTAAGAGTATCGCTGATTAATAAATAGTTCCTTGCCTCTGTTCAGAATACAACCCGTCACCCAGATTCAGCTTCAAGTTTTGACCGTCTTTATCACATTGGAAAGAATCACAGTTACGAATTGAATAAGAGGTTTGGTGATTTCAAGCACCGGTATGGTTGCGGAGGTGAAGAGAAACGTCTTTGGCTCTGGAGGAAATCGAAATACATTCGCACAGATGGGAGCTTATATATGGTACCTTCGGGTAATGTTTATTTCAGAAGTTATTTATTTATCAGGTGTTTTATGAAAACACATGTAACGCAAACACATTTGCTGTTTCAGTATTTTCAGTTTATGTTCAAACGACAAGCACAACATTTTTCAAGAGCAGAAGCAGCATACTATGAAGGGATACTGACTAGTTCTTGACTGCTTTCTGGGTGCAGTTCTTGTGTGATGCCGTAGCACTGAATTTGGACTTCAGCACTGCGGATAAGATTAACGCCAATCACGCATATTATTCAGGAAGTATAGATTATTCAGAAAGTTAGAAGTTGTTTGGAAGTAATTCCGAGAATGACTGAGCTGAGGTTTAAAAATTAATACAGATGTATCATTGCGATTTACAGCAGCATTCTAGTATTATACTAATGGTCTTAGGCCGAAAAGAACTTCGTGGTCGCGGGTTCAAATCCAACTTAGAGCAAGGATTGACCTCTACATAGATTAAACAAATTAAAACCACTGGGAAATGATTCTAGAGACTTCGAAAATCTGGTAAATGCGATTCGTTGGACGGTACCTTCATCAAATGCAACAAGGCCTATGTACTGAACATAAATAGCATATGTATTATCAATGTAAGCAGAAATTCCGGATTCAGTTTAAGCAATTCCTTTTACGAAACAGATAGAGAATTGGTCCGACCAGAATGAAAAATAATCATTAATAACGTTTTTGAATATGGGTACATTACTTTGGTAGAATTTCACATACTTCAGGGATAAGCCCACGCATTAGTCTAGCTGGTAAATATTATTGTAAAATGACAATGCTATTGAACGATTTCAGCATTCTTTGAAGTGATAGGGCTTGCGTCGGTTTACATTTTTGTATCGTACTCCATATGCTTTTCATTGAAATCATGTACGTAGTTGTACACACCGTGGTGTAGCGCGACGAACATTCTGAACTGACCTGCACATCACATATATAAAAACTCTCGATCTACATATACTTCCCACCCCATTTATGTACGTCTTCGTTTTATCTTTATTGCTCACTGTCTGTTTTTGGGTCAGGACGGTAATATGAAGGAGAACAAATTGTAACAAAATGTTCTAAATTACGTACGGGGTTTAGTGATGTCTAAATATACTTATCCAGAATTAAGTGTACAAGTAAATATGGACTCTAAGGGCGGCCGCACACCAACTGCGTCAAGACAAGCATCAAGACATGAGACAAAAGACGCAGTCTTGCTTCATTCGTGATTCGTCAGCATCATGGCTCAGACCGGTGTGCGGCGGTTTTCATAATCTCATTCGTTCCAACTGTGCTCCTTTCTCTGCGTCATGTCGCAGACATCGTGTCTTGATTGTTATATGTCTTGATGTATGCCGGTGTGCGGCCTACCTAACAAGTGGATTAAGCCCCCTACAACATAAAATAAGTAAGAGGAATTAGCCATTGCACTCAGTATTACCAAAGATTTGCCACACTATTCGAAAATACTAATATACGTTGTGCGTTCAAGTTCTAAGGTCTCCGATTTTTTTTCTCACACAATAATCATACAAAAAATTTGAAACTTCTGTCACTTTTCAACGTAATCTCCCTGCAGCCGTACACATTTTTCACAACGTCGACGCCATGATTCCATGGCCGCTGCGAACGCTTCTGTAGGAGTCTGTTTTGACCACTGGAAAATTGCTGATGCAATAGCGGATTGAAAAACGGCATCCATGTCTCATCCATTGTCACAGTTGATGAAAAGAAAGTCCCATTCATGCCTTCATCATTGCCATGCGTGCAGCCTTGTGGTCATCCGCCAAAATTCGTGGAACCCACCTGGAGGACACTTTCCGCATTCGCAGGTCTTCATGCAGGATTTTGTGCACAGATCCCACGGAAATGCCAACTTTGGGGGCGATGTTTTCCACACTCAATCGGCGATCCTCCAAAACAACTTTCTCAACTCGCTCGACCATGTTGTCAGACCGGCTGGTGCGAGGCCGAGATTGTTTTGGTTCGTTGTCACACGACGTTCGGCCTTCTTTGAACTGTCGCGCCCACGAACGCACATTTTTCACATTCATGACACCATCACCACATGTCTCACTCAACTGGCGATGAATTTCAATGGGTGTCGCACCACGCAAGTGGAGAAAACGAATGATTACTCGCTGTTCTTGTAACGAAAACGTCGCCATTTTAAGTATCAAAAACACTCCTCACACTCGCCGCTATCACTAGAGTTCTTCCATCTCTGTCACGCATTCACAAAGAGTGCACACGTATTTTAAACAAAACCGCATGTGTCTATCTGCTCCCAGTCCTGAGAAAAAAAATCGGAGACCTTAGAACTTGAACGCCCCTCGTACTTTCAAAAGACACCCTGACATATTACAGAAATAAAAATAATGAAAAGGCAGATAGGATATTAAAAATAAACCGTTGTGAAAGACACACCTAAAATCATCGAGCCAACATCCGAAGATGTTCATATATTAATTAAAACATGCTGAAATACACAACACGGAAAACGTTCACGATATTACTGAACTGAAAATCACATATAAAAAGAAATGCGTTATAACATATGACCTAAATACGAAATAATAGAGAAAATTTCAGGATTAAAGACAGCCAGTTTGTAATTAAAATCATGTAAGGAAATAAAATGTTCCTTAACTACCGAACTTATTGCCATGATCGTGAAGCACATCTCAGTATATCCAAGAGTTCTCCAAATTACCAACAGATCTTAATCACATGATCAGCAACCTTGGAACACTGAGTAAACCTAAAGAAATCAAGAGATGCGCTACAACGCCAACGAGAACCCACTCCTTGTTGTTTACAATTCCATTTATTAGCAATCAGTTGAGATAATATTTAGACTTCAATAATGCAGGACCTCAAAGAGAGCAGAGGAGAATGGTGTGAACAGAGAAATTGGATATAATTATTTCCGCTTGCAAATTTCCTAGACAGCCACCCGCATATTTTCAGCAAGTGGTACACCTGTGTAAGATACTTATTTGTATTGTCACATTATATACAAATGGCCAGTGCCAACTGACTGCACCATATGTGCGTAAAGATTCCGTTGCAGAGAACTGGGATTAAAGGGACGCTATTTATTCAAGCAAGACTTAAAATCGAGCAAATTCTTTTAGTTGAATGCAACGTCTTTCTCCTAGAGATTTTGTTTTTCACACTGTGCAGGCTCCACTACTCCTGCTGCAGTTCCCCTTCTGCTTAACACAGCGAACAAGAAAAACAAATCGGGTAGTACTTACTATGGGATTCTAACGATGGTGTACTACCCGCAGAGATATTGGGTTTTCGGACTTTATCCATCGTCCTGATTTTAAGGTAACTAAGAAAAACACGACGTTTCGGAAACTGGATCTGTTTCCGTCCTCAGGTGAGGGAAAACACCTGGACTCATTGATTGAGGCTAGCTCTTTCTAAGGGACCCAACAGAATAGGTGTTTTACTTCACCTGAGGACGGAAACAGATCCAGTGTCCGAAACGTCGTGTTTTTCTTAGTTACCTTAAAATCAGGACGATGGATAAAGTCCGAAAACCCAATATCTCTGCGGGTAGTACTTCATTACAATTTTTTTTCCTTGGCACTACAGCCCCAGTGGGCCTAGGCCTACCTCCATGAACTTCTCCGTTCACTTCGGTTTTTCTAGATCTTACACGTTCGGTAGGACTCCTTGTGCGGGTGATCAGCTCGTCGCAAGGCCTCTACCTGTACACAAACACAGAAAAACGCACACACACAAACTAAAGATCCATGCCCTGAGTGGGATTCGAACCCACGATCCTGGTTTCCAAGCAAGCGAAGACAGTACATGCCTCAGATCGCTCGGCTACCGTGACCGGCCTTCATTACAAATATACAACATAATAAAGACAGATTTTGGTTAATCCCACTCCAGTTTTTTCCTTCTGATTGGCTACTTTCGTGGTTTAGCTTCATGCGTCTTTGTAAATATTTTTCAGTCACCGTCGTTAAGTAAACGTGATGCTACGAATAACGTTCTGTATGACCAAATGATTTGCGGCTTCTCGAGAAGGGCTCAGCTCAATGAGTGAGTGAGTATTGACCAAATTCATTCTGCCAGACATGTGTGCTCTCTTTCAGTAAGTTTTCACAAGTTCAGATATAGAACATATTTGGATCTGTCTCTTCAGATTTCAAAACGAAAGAAAGGATGGGCTGTATTTTAAACATATATATTTTTTGTTCATGGTTTCCTCCGTTCCTTTGGGATAATGAAGGCTTTGATGCCTTGAAATAGGCCACAACCGTCTGTTTCCAATCCTTTCCAACTCATCGCATATTATCTTTCTGTCGCCTACTTCAATCACATGCAAATTCTGCTGTTCATTCAACATCTACATAAAACATACGAACAAAATAAACATCAGAGTCCTTCCAGGGAAACGATGTGAGATTAATTTAAAATTTACCATTACTCGTCACCATTCTATATTCATAAACATCCTTGCACTGTTTCAGTAAACACCGAATGCACTTGCAAATGACATACAAAAAAAAAACTCCGTGATTTTAGTCCGCAAGCGAACTATAGCGACCGAGCGACCGCCGCTTGTCGCCGAAGTTTAGTGTCAAATTTAGTAGAAGATGGTGTCGCGTGGTCAGCGCAAAAAACCCCCACGGCCGTTAATTTCGGTTTTCTAGACCGGAGCCGCTATTTCCTTGAAATAGCTCCTCAATTGTCATCACGAGGCTGAGTGGACCCTGTTCCAGACACACCATTTCTCCGAAAAAATCTGGTAGCGGCGGGAATCGAACCCGGACCTCTGGATCTGTAGCCAGGAACGCTGACCACTACACCACAGAGGCGACTTGCAATTGATATAATACAGTAAAATCAACTGCATATGAACATGCTTCGTCTTATCATCGGAGACGTGTTCTACTTGACATGCGTCACGTTGTTCTCTCTGGAATTGAGCACTGCTAAGGAACCTTACACACCTGAAACGTTCAGAGAACAGATTTACACAAATATTTGTACTCATGATTTAATGCTGAATGCTTGCTGGACTAAGTCTGGTTTCCTCTGCTTCTCACGTAAGTTCGTAATCAGAACAAGACCAAACTAACAAATTAACAAAGTAGTCACCAAATATCGTCTTCCCGAAACACGAAAATTTAATATTCAAACAGTAAACCTGTTTCAGATGGAATTCCAAACGACCTGAACGTGATTCACTTTTCAAAGACGTTCCAGGTGATTTCCAAGTCGCCATTTTCATTTCCACTTCCTCATCATACAGTTTTTGTTTATTTTAGGAAATTTTACATTTGGGATTTTCCACGCCCCCTGATATAATTGAAAATACTGATAGAATTAAAAACTCCATTTTGAAAACTGTCACGTTTATCTTTTCGATAAATTCATCTTGCGCAATATGTGTACGTGCTTCAGGAGACCCGATGAAGTTACGAGCTGCCGGCCCAGGCGTTAATGGAACAGAGTTGTGAGGGAATCACGTGATTATACAATGGTACATATAGGATTCTTGTCTATGATGATGATACAAATCTATTGGGTGATAACATAAATGCTACAAAAAAGACCCCAGATGCTCTAATCGACACTAGTAAGGAGGTTAGCCTAGAAGAGAGAATGGAAAGAACTAATTATAAGCTGTTGCCTCGTCACCAAAATACAGATCAGAATCATAACATGAAGATGGCCTATAGGTTCTTTGAAAATAAAGCAAAGTTAAGATATTTTTGGAAGACAGTAAGTAAAGTAAAGTTATCCCTGTAACAGGCCGTGGAGGCCCATAGGGTTGTGAGACGTTGAGGGTCCCACATTATCTAAACAATCGGCACATAGATGGCGGCAAGGTTGTCAGACTTACGCGCCGGTCGCCCATTACCCCCGAGAATATTCATGGTACTCATTTCTGTTAGAGGTTGAGTCGACTCCAGGGCAATAGTGCGGCTGGAAGGTTCAGGTCAATTGAAAAAAATCCAATGACCTCATCGGGACTTGAACCCGCGACTTTCCTGCTTGTAGCATAGTGCCTCAGCCAACAACGCTACCGCGTGCCCCTTTTGGAAGACAATAACAAACTAAAATCTGACTCGGCTAATGCTTGCTACCAATAAGTTCAGAACTTTTTTTTCTTCCCGTGTGCTGTCTAAAAACGTAGAGATTAGACTGCACAGAACTATTATTTTGCCTTTAGTTAGTTAGTTATTTAGAGAGGGTGGGTTTCCCCATGCACCGCGACCAGTTTGATCTATTGTGCTTCCCTCTATGATATTCTAGCAGTCTCTATACCCTACCGATAAATGGTGCGTACCATCAGTCCCGCCGAGCATGCGAGTTCGGCCACTTGCTTAGTGTCTATAATGCTTCCCCCATCTATCAGAGGCCTTAGAGACTATTGTTGGGCGGGAAACGTCCTGGAATTTGGCTCAGTGATCCCCTTTGGGGATATGAGGTTCTTTTACGTGCCGTAAAGTTACGACACGGGACACACAGCTTAAAGTCCCTCCCGAAGGCTTGTTCCCTGAATTTTTCCGCCCTTAAAAATTCGACGACCTCCGCCGGGTATTTGAACCCGCGTACTACGAGTCATGAGGTGGGAACGTTACCTCTAGACTACGGAGGCCGCTTTATTTTGCCTTTAGTATGATATGGGCGCGAATTTCACACTGTGACTCTTGGTCTCTGAAAATAAGGGAAGAACACAGACAGAAGGTTCCCCAGGATTAGATGCTGAGGAGCATATCTGCACCTAAGAGAAATGAAATAACAGGAGGCTGGATAAAACGGAATCATGAGGAACTTCATAATTTATACTTCTAGCGAAACATAATTAGAATAAAGTGAAGGAGGATGAGGTTGGCGGTGAATATAAAACACATGGGAAGGAAAAGGGGTTTGGTGGGAAAGCCGAAAGGAAACACGGCAATTCTAGGACCTAGAGGTAGATATGGCCATAACATTAAAACTGACCTTAGAGAAATAGAATCGGAGTACAGAATGGATTCATCCGGCTCAGGATAAAGACCAGTTGCTGGCTACTGTGAGCACGGTAAAGAACCTTCGGGTTCCATATGATGTTGGGAATTTCTTGAATGGCTAAGAAACTGTTGGCTTCTCAAGGACTCGCATCCATGGAGTTCGCTGTTTGGGCATGACATTTCTCGAGCGCCATAAGCAAATGGAAGGGACGTAGATGGAAAAATGAGCTAAAGCTAGGGCACGTGAGGCAATGCACTCCACGAACTTCTCGAAACATTAGCAACTACCCGCGAATTTTCGAAGACCTACGTCTGTCATATAAAATGTAAACAAAATTGTAAATTTATTAATCCACTTTCAAACACTGAGGCGTAAGTTAATGTTGGGGTCGTATATTTTCGGTACTTAGGGGCGCGTCGCCCTTGTTGTGAACGACAAATTGAAAACAGTGTTAATGAAAAATTTTCTAACGCATATTTTGCTAGAGTTGCCGAAGAAAACAGTGATATGAACTCAACCAGTATAGTCGGTCTGAAAAGAATACGCATGAACCCGAACTGCAGAATACGAAGCAGTAATGCAGGCAGGCACTTCTCCTGGTGGACTGAGAATCAGTTTTGGTTGGTGCGCCATGCATGGGAGAACAGTAACATTTGTTACTTATCATTAACAGACGTTTCCGGTGATAGTTTCTGGAACCTTACGAGCGAGGAAAAGTATTAGGGTCTCGGAAAAGTGGCCGTCTTCTTAATAACCTTCTTCAGTTCTGCTTTTTGAACGGTGAATATCAGGTCAACATATTTTTCTGACTCACAGATGACCACTTGATTTTAGTAGTTAGCATCTGAACAACGAAACAAGAAAATAGGAATAAGGTTTTGTAACCCCCCTTTCAGTAATCAAGGGTCCTGAAGACGTGTACATCCGGCAAAACCTCTGAATCGATATATGACAATCACCGTACTTTCCGGAATATATGACTCATAAAAGAACGTAAAGTGTGTGTGTCAGAGAGAGGTGACTTGATATTTAGATCAGGGAGCCACGAAGTAACACTAAACTGGCAAAAATGACATAATAAGTAGTTTCCTAATTTATACTCTTCGCCTGATACTGATAAATGAAGGATGAGATAGGAGGGACACAAGGAAATCTTGGAGACGAAATCCTAAAGGGAAGAGGCCAGAGTCCGGATGGGTTCGAATGCTGCTCCGGACATATATTTATATCGGCGAATTTCTATTCTGAAAGAGACCTTTCTTTGCGCCCATCTTCCGTCTAAACTATTCATCGCTTCAGGAACAATTGTGGATCCGAACAGTTGAACAACAATTCAATACACCAAGTATAAACCAATCAAAAAATAGGTAAAATAATTCGAACGTCAGGACGAAGATAAATCCGCACTTGCCTAATCTTGGTACTTAGCCTACCTGCAAAGTTCCCGTACTGAGTCCAGATGCTGCACTTCCAACACTGGCGACGTCAAAGTCCTGTAGAAGTCCTGTATCATCGTGTGATGTGGTATGATTGGCGATGGGTTGACCGTTGCCGTTTTGTCCAGCAGTCGCAGAACTTGAAGCCGCAGACATGCTGGACATCGAAGACACGGACTCAGTACGTTGCATGAGACTCATACCTGGTCCAGGTACGTCTGTTTTGAAGAAGAATGCATCATGAACATATTATGTACAGTAACAATACACTACACTACACAACGGGAAATATAATAAGTTACGATTGATCTTCATTTAATACAGACTGGCTTATGTCAGATTTATGCGAAATGCTATGGAAGTGACAACAACTCGCGCATAAATACCATCAGGATCAGTTAAAGTTATTCATAAAAAAACTAGAAATTCGCATTTAGCAGCTGTATAACCCTCACTGAAAAGGTACACACAAACTCAGGTGAGGTAAAGAACAAACAGCGGTGTCTATCCCCACAAACAAAATCAACAGAATCACCGGTTCTCTTTGCAAATCTTCGCTTTCTACTTTCCTCTTGTGGGCTGATTTTCTTTTTGTTTACTCTTCGACCGTGAAGATGGAAGCAGGACGTTCCTCAGAAAATTCGGTGAACATCTACCGGGCTACATGGCGTCACATCCGAGGAGTTAATACTTTCTGTAGCCACAGTTCTGAGAGCCTAAAATCCAACATATTTTGGTGTTGTTACAACTTATAATACTGTACGTGTACATCTCCCAGCACTGCCACAAAAATGTCTTCTTGATATATAACGGTTTCCGTCCTTACGTGTAGAATACACGACGAGAGCGCATGCGTTACGAGAAGATGATATTAGCAGGAAACAAAATTCAGAAAATTCCCCGTCTAATTTATGATTGCACTTCATCAAATTTAAGTTAAATAGCTCGATAGTCCCACTGCGTACACATACTACATGACACATGAAATAAATATTTGTTTCCTAAACAGCTGAAACACGTGATACTCGTATTTCACAAATAGAAGACGTCATACACAGTATTTTAAAATCACTTTTAAAACGAAATGGTAGATATGCTGCTGAAATATTTGTCATCGTTGTGTTCGAGAAATAATTTACTGGTACAGCCAGTGTGCATGTAAGCCGTGAACTGGACGAGCGAGGAAGAATAACCCTTGAGTCACGCACCGGTGACCTCATGTCTGACAATCCACTCTTATGGAAATGGGCAGAACGGTATATCCGAGACTTCCTCTTTCGCCTGGTGGGGATCTTGGATACTCTCCGATATGCAGGAATAAGCGAAACCAACGTTAGAAAAGCACATCACTTGTTCTTCACTCTTTGTTGTATGTTCTCATCAGACTAAACATGTGGATTGTGGCTCCAAGTGTTGTTCTTGCGCCATCTTGGCCTCTGTCTGCAGGGTTGTAGTGAACTTCAGAGGAGCATACGATTGACGAACTTTCCATTTCATCATCGATGGATATTGGTGACCTAAAGAGAGGACCCATAGTTTATTGAGTGATTCGAACCACGGTAGGAGTCTGAGTTCTCCATATGCACAAAGGTTTGACGTACGGACAATCCGCACTAGATTGGCTGAGCTCGAATCCAAGGCTTTCTGCACGAAAGGCCAGTTCCTTACCGCTAGACCACCATGTGGACAGAGCTTTAATGTTTCTTTCCGATAGCACAAACACATTCTGAGATATCTGTGTTGTGTATTTAACGGCATATTCTCAACTGTACAAATAGCATAAAGATGGACGAGAGGACTGTTCCCAGTCATACATTAGGAAAAATGTTAAATGAATGTGTCGTATTATATTTTAAAGTACTGACCAAGAATTTGCCGAGTAACAGGAAGATTCCTTGGGGGTAAAGGGCGGCCGGTGCGTAAGTTTGACAAACTTACCACCAACTGTGAGCCGATTGTCTAGAAGATGCGGGAGTCTCGATATGTCACGGCCTGTTACAGGGACAGCTGTTACCCAGAATTTTCCTGGGTGGATTAAGGAAAACCACGAAAAACCTCCGTACGGATAACCAGCCTCCAGGTGTTCCATAAAGTACTCTAGGGCTAAACACTTCACCTTGAGTTATCTGGCAGTAACGTATGCCCTTCTACTTGCCAGGGAATCCGCTGTAACGAACCTTGAGTTATCTGGCAGTTACGTGTGTCCTTCTACTTGCCAGGGAATCCGTTGTAACGAACCTTGAGTTATCTGGCAGTAACGTATGCCCTTCTACTTGCCAGGGAATCCGCTGTAACGAACCTTGAGTTATCTGGCAGTTACGTGTGTCCTTCTACTTGCCAGGGAATCCGCTGTAACGAACCTTGAGTTATCTGGCAGTTACGTATGCCCTTCTACTTGCCAGGGAATCCGCTGTAACGACTTAATTTGTTGTGGCATTCTTCAATCTGTCCAAAAATACAAGTAGCTATAATACTTTAACACAGATCACGGTCGGTTTCTTCATGTATGTCTCCCGATTTATCATGATTATCAGTCTCCACAGATGATACAAAACCGTCGATACCCAAACTGATAACATGAAATAGGTCACTGTCCTTTCCCTCATTATATTTTCGAAGTTATAATGCAATACCATCCTCTCCTTCGACAATGCATAAATTATGTATTTGAGAAAGGTTCCCTGAACACATTTAGAAGGAAGAAATGCGATGAGCTGCATTGTCCTCCAATATAAAGCCTGACGCAGTAATTTATAATGTTAAGATGTTTCTTTCTGAGTGAGAACGGTTCTTATAAAGCTATGGCGAAATATTATGACTAAGTACACATGAAATAAGTACTCACATCTCCAGGCAGACCGCATACTCACCTTAGGCTTCTGTTTTCCACTGTATTAGCGCACATTTGTGACAGAAGACTTACCGCAAAGTTACTGCAGTCTACAATGTCAACGATTAATTCACGGATTTAAAGTCCGCTCAAATAATAATATAAAGGGATGTCTACTTATTAAACAAGCCAATCCAACGCTAAATTTAAATAAAAGAAGTCCTAGATTTCGGTAGTCTTAATTTATCGCGTCAGATATTGAAATCTTTTACTACCACGAACCGGATATTCTGAAATTAGGCAGTGGGACTTCAGCCACATTAAACCGCAGGACTTTTGGCATTTGTAGTGGTACTTCCAAGCCGGGGTAGCGCAGTCGATATAGCGACTGCCTATGGGCTGGACGAGACCGAGGGGTCGGAGCTCGAGTCCCGGTACCGTCAGAATTTTCTCTTCTCCATACAGTCCAGACCGGCTCTGGGGCCCACCCAGCCTCCTAGCCAATGGGTATCGGGGCTCTTTCCCCGGGGGTAAAGCGGCAGGGGCGTGAAGCTGACCACTCACCTCTAGCTAGTGCCGAGGTCAAGAAAATGTGGATCTATATATCCACTCCCCCATACGCCTTCAAGACGTAGTGCTTAATTAGACAAGCACAGGGGAAACTTTAACTTTTTACCTTTTTTACTTCCTCTGCATCAAATGTAAGCCTGTCTCCATGACTCAGTCTCTTGCAATGTGACCAACAATGAACACGATTAGAAGTTAGGCACTGGTTGGCCGACGGACTACGATGGAGAGAGAGAAAGACAAAGTTGTACAGAGAGCCCCAAGAGTTGCACCGGTACGTAATATGTACTTCATTTATACAAACCTGACATTCACACTTCCTCTTTCAAAACTCAGCAACTACGAGGACTAAAGTACCGTACCTTTTCTTGTCGTAAACTAAACAGGTTGCTATGGGAACTAAAAGACTGACAAATAAAGAACCTGATACGAATTCACTAAAGAATGTATTCAATCTTTATCTGAAAGCAAGTTTCATCATTATCTGCCCACAGCATTATCGATTTCCAGTCTTTCTGATAACATGTTGGGTGTAAACATTTTTCACGCCAATTCTCTCCATATTCAACAGGTTCTTTTAACTCCTAAAAGCAAAAAAAGTAAAGCTATCCCTGTAACAGGCCCTGAAGGCCCATAGGGTTGTGAGACGTTGAGGGTCCCACATTATCTAGACAATCGGCTCAAAGATGGCGGTAAGGTTGTCAGCCTTACGCGCCGGCCGCGCTCTATTCCCCAGGAAAATTAATTAATTAATTAATTAATTCCTCCCCCCGATGGTGTCTCTACTTTGACGTAGTGGAGGGGCTTGCGTGGTCAAATGACCCTGAGAGCTATGTCGGCGGTAGCATAGCTACTGGTAGGGTCACCCATGCCGGACAGGTCGAAGGGGATGACCCAGACTAAAAGAGATACCCTGGCCCTCCAGGTTGGGGGTTGGGCGAGAGGCTGACGACCTCTCACCGTAAAAATATATAAATGTCTCGAAACCTGGAATCAAGCCTCGGAAACCTCAACACAATGGAAGACGACTTCTGGCAAAGAATATGGGCTACTCTCTAGAAACATGGAATGTGAAAACCCTCAATAAACCGGGTGCCATGAAATCTGTACTAGAACAGATAGATAAGTACAATATGAAAATCACAGCTATACAGGAAATTAGATGGCTGGGTAAAGGAATCATGGACTTAAAGAAACATACTGTATGTTACAGTGGTAAAGCAGAAGGCAATAAGGAATTTGGTGTAGCCTTTGTAATAGAACGGGAATTTAAAAGCGTAATAATAGACTTTAAACCAATAAGTGAAAGAATTTGCACTTTGAGAATTAGAACGAAATTTTTCAATATGACGTTGATTAACGTGCGCGCACCTGCAGAAGAAAAAGAGGAGGAGGTCAAAGACTGTTTCTGTCAAAAAATGGAAGAGACATATGATTCAGTACCAAGTAATGACATAAAGGTTATTTTAGGGGATCTTAATGCCAAAATAGGTAAAGAGAAGGAACATAGAGGAGTAATTGGGTCAGATAGTTTACATGATACAACCAACCATAATGGAATAAAATTAATAGATTTTGCAGAAAGTAAGAACTTGATCGTCAGCTCTACATACTTCCCGCACAAAAATATACATAAAAGGACATGGGCAGCACCGGATGGGGTAACCTTCAATCAAATAGATCATGTCCTCATAGAGAAGCGATTTGCGACGAATATCCTGGACGTAAGAACATTAAGAGGGGCCAACTGTGATAGTGATCATTACTTAGTACAGGTCAAATATAGATGCAAAATAAGTTGTCAAAGATCCAAGCAGTATG